GGGCTTCTTCCAGATCTCCCATGTGGGTGCAGGGACCTAAGGATTTGGGCCATCTTCCACTGCATTCCCAGGTCATAGCAGAGAGCTGGATTGGAAGAGGAGCAGCCAGGACTAGAACCAGCACCCACATGGGATGTCAGGCGCTTCAGGCCAGGGCTTTAACCTACTGCACCATGGGGTCGGCCCCACAAATATTTATTTCTTTAACAGGCAGAAAGACAGAGATAGATCTCCCTTGACTGTTTCATGCCTCAGTGTCTACAACATTCAGGGTTGGGCTGGGCTGAACCAGGAGCCAGGAACTCAATCTGTGTCTCCCACATCAGTGGCAGGGACCCAAGTACCTGAGCCATCACCTACTGCCTCCCATGGCACACATTAGCAGGAAGCCGAGTAAGAAATGGAGCCAGGACTCAAACTAGTTGCAAAGTATCCGGTGCATAACAAATCTTCCCAGGCAGACGAATCAATTAATTCACAGGCTTTTATTGGAGTTCCACTCGTGGGCGAGGTTCCCCGGTCCCAACAGAGCAACAGAGCAACAGAGCGGGGGTGGGGTGGGGGGAAGGGGAGTCGCGCGTCAGAGGTTGGGAGGGCTCCTTTTATAGACTCAGGGCATGGGGGTTAAAGGTTGAGGCGGGTCTGATCCTCATTGGTTGACCTTCAGGCACCCGCGGGGACCTGGACAAGGACTTTTCTTCCCTGCAAGTACAGGTAGGAACTTTCCATTCCCGGAAGTGCAGGCCTTCCTTCCGTGCGGATCCCAAAGCTACCACTAGCTGCTTATCTATGGGCTGTAGGTGTCCCAAGGGCATCTTAACTGATCTTGTTAGAGCTTGTCAGGAGCTTGTCAGTCCCTTCCACATCACTGCTTTCCATCCACAACCTTTCACTGGTACCTCCCAAAGAACTGTACTATTATTGCAATTCTTCCATAAATCTAAAATGATTTCAAAATAAAATGTTTCTTAAAATCTACCAAAACAAAACTAGACTCAACTGTCAAACCTCCTTCTCATGTGAATATGGATGTCCGGTGAATGTTACCCTGTCAGAAGAAATGAGGAAGTCATGAATGAAATGAATTAAGCCTGCCAGTACAAATACATCATCGAAAGCCATTGAGAAACTACTGAAGGGCAGCTGACGTTTTTTTCAAGAATGATCCAGCTCTCTGCTACAGCCTGGGAAAGCAGCAGAAGATGGCGCGTGGGAGACCAGGTAGAAGCTCCTGGCTTCGGATTAGCGCAGCTCCAGCTGTTTGCAGCCAATTGGGGAGTGAACCAGAGATGGAAGACCTCTTTCTCTGCCTCTCCTTCTCTGTGTAACTCAAACAAATCTAAAAAAAAATACACAAAAGAACGCATCCTAAATATGAAAAAGGAAGGATATATTCCTTAAGAAAAAAAAAAAAAGAAAAAGAAAAGGCGGCCAAAGAATGGGTCTCAGTAGCTTTTTAGTCTTGAACTAATATTCTAGGATTATTAATTCAGGATCTTGATTTATTAATATCTTTGAATTTTTCTTGAAGGGAAGACAGGCTGTTTTCCCACTGAATACAACTGTATCATGCTCTTTTTTGTTGCTGTTAAAGATTTATTTGTTTATTTGAAAGTCAGAGTTACACAGGGAAAAGAAAAGGCAGAGAGAGAGAGAGAGAGAGAGAGAGAGATCTTTCATCCACTGGTTCACTCCAAATTGGCTGCAAACAGCTGGAGCTGTGCCTATCTGAAGCCAGGAGCCAGGAGCCTCTTCCGGGTCTCTCATTTGGGTGCAGGGGCCCTAGGACTTGGGCCACCTTCTACTGCTTTCCCAGGCGCTAGCAGAGAGCTGGATCAGAAGTGGAGCAGCCGGGACATGAACTGACGCCCATATCGATGACAGCGCTACACCACAGCACCGGCCTCTATGGAGCTAGTCATGAAGATGGTGCAGCTAATTCCCATGCCTTACTCCAGACTCCTAGACTGGGTTTGTCTTTCCATTTAGCCAACAATTGCCCTTGGTCATTCCAATTCACTTATAAATGAGCTGACATTACCATTTATTTGTCATTCCTATATCTATTGTGAGTCTGATTATTTAAAAGCAGGCATACATTTTTTCAATATTAAACCAGGGGCCAGCACTGTGTGTGGCATAGCAGGTAAAGCCACTGCCTGCAGTGCAGGCATCCTATACAGGCACTGGTTTGAGTCCCAGCTGCTCCACTTCCGATCCAGCTCTCTCCTATGGCCTGGGAAAGCAGTAAAAGATGATTCAAGTTCATGGGCCCCTGCACCCGCGTGGGAGACCTGGCAGTGGCATTCAGCGCATTCACAACCTCCATCTAGTTCCAAAACGTTTTGACTTGAGTCTAATATAAAACCTCATACCCGGGCTGGCACTGTGGTGGGTTAAGTCTGCTTGCAGTGCTGGCATCCCATGTGGGAGCAGGTTCAAATCCCAGCTGCTCCACTTCCAATCTAGCTTTCTGCTAATGTGCTTGGTAAAAAAAACATTAAGTTGATACTCATGGCATACCAAGCATTTGCTAGTCACAGTTCTAGGAGCTGGGGACAAAGTGATGAACAAAACAGATAGATTCATTCGAATGGAGAAGACCAGACATAAATAAAACAATTACTCAAATAAATATCAACAAGCTGTGGTAAATGCTACAGTGTTTGCTATGTGAGCGAATAACCTGAGAAACTGACTTAATCTGCCGGGTCAGGAGAGGCTCCCCTGGGAGGGGCATCTGGCTCAACTGTTGAGACACTGCTTGTTGGCGCCCACACCCCATACTGGAGTTCTGTCCCAGCTCGGCTTTCAGTTCTAGCTTCCTGCTACCGTGCACCCTGCCAGGCATAGTGACAGCTCCAAGAAAGTGGGTCTAAGCCACCCACACGGGAAACCCAAATTATGTTCCAGGCTGTTGGCTTCAGCTTGGCCCCGCCCTGGCTGTTGCAGGCATTTGGAGAGTGAACCAGCAGATTGAAGATCGATTTCTCTCTCTCCCTCTCTGCCTTTCAAGTAGAATGAAAATAAATGAGGGAAAAAAGGTCAAGCTGCCCTGAACTGAGTTGAGCTGGCAGAATGCAATGTTGGGCTTCCAAGCTAAGGCTCTCTCCTGACTGTGGCCGCCTGGTACATGCAATGCCATTGAGACACTTCCTGCGCACTGACCGTCTCAGCACTCTCCAGGGCTAGGTGATGTTTTGCCTTTGCCTTTCCCTGACAGCACCCGCTTAGTCTTCTGTCGGAATTATCTGTATCTCTTCTAGGTTGAATGGAAGCTTTGGATGGTGTGGTCGCTCAACCTCATTTTGATATCATAGAACTTGTGCCTTCGGCTTGGCTCAGTCAAGACACTTTGCCAGTGCCTCTTAAGCCTCTCATACTATGCATGGTATATACTGTCATACAAAGATGAAAAAAAAAAAAAAACCCATGAAGTAACAGCTTGATCAAGACATAACGCACATGCTGTATAATTCACCTAAAGGGTACAATTCAATGGTTCATAATATCTGAAGAGTTGGGCAACCCTCACTTCAATTTGAAAACAATTTAAAGATCCCATACCCATTACCGTCACTCCCCTTCTCCCCAAATTCCTCAGCATTAGGCAACCCCTAATATACTTTTTGTCTCCATGAATTTGTCTATTCTGGTCATTTCATATGTCTGGACTCATACCCTGTGTGGTCTTTTGTGACTGACTTCCACCTAGCATATTGTTCTCAAAGTTTATATACATTGTAGCATGCACCCAATAAATCACTCTTTGTGTTGCCCTATTGCATACATACTTTATTGTATGGATACACACCACATCTTATTTATCCCTTCAGCAGTTGATGGACATTTCGGTTGTTTTCAACTTCTATTACAAATAATTCTGATTTGAACATCTGTAACAAGGTTTTTTTTCACATAACACAAAATTAACCATTTTAAAGTGGGCGATTCAGGGCTGGCGCTATGGCGCAGTAGGTTAATCCATTTCCGATCCAGCTCTCTGCTATGGCCTGAGAAAGCAGAAGATGGCCCAAGTCCTTGGGCCCCCGCACCCGCTTGGGAGGCCCAGAAGGAGCTCCTGGCTTCAGATCGGCGCAGCTCCGGCCATTGCAGCCATTTGGGGAGTGAACCAGCAGAAGGAAGACCTTTCTCTCTGTCTCCCTCCTCACTGTCTGTAACTCTACCTCTCAAATAAAAATTTAAAAAAAATAAATAAATAAAGTGGGCGATTCAGTGGCATTCAGCGCATTCACAACCTCCATCTAGTTCCAAAACGTTTTGACTTGAGTCTAATACAAAACCTCATACCTGGGCTGGCACTGTGGTGCAGTGGGTTAAGTCTGCTTGCAGTGCTGGCATCCCATGTGGGAGCAGGTTCAAATCCCAGCTGCTCCACTTCCAATCTAGCTTTCTGCTAATGTGCTTGGGAAAGCAATGGAGGATGGCCCAAGTGTTTAGACCCCGGTACCCTCATGAGAGACACAAGAAGCTCCTGGCTCCTGGCTTCAGTCTGGCCCAGCCTGGCTGTTGTAGCCATTTGGGGAGTGAGCCGGCAGATGAAAGACCTGCTCTCTGTCTCTCCCTTTCTCTGTAACTCCTTCAAATAAATAAATGCTTAGAACAACAACAGCAACAAAAAGAAAACCTCTCATATCCATCCAGAAGTTACTTCCTATCGTGTCTTCCCTCTTCCTCAGAACCTGGTAATCACCCACTGGTTTGTTGGTTTTGTTTCTATGGATTTACCTGTTCTGGGCATTTTTGTGAGTCAGTGGAATCAGAATATGTGATCCTTTGGGTCTGGCTTCTTCCACGTTTTTGAGGCTCACACAGCTGGAGTGTGCACTCATGGTTCACTCCTTTTTTGGACTGAATAATATTTCATTGTTATGTCTATGCCACATTTTGTTCATTGACTCATCTGTTGAAGGACATTTGGGTTGTTTACACCTTGGGCTACTGGGAATAACGCTCCTGTGAGCAAACACACGCAGGGCTGGTTGGGTACCTGTTTTTATTGGTATCTGTGAATACCTAGGGGTAGAATTCCTGGGTCATGGGAACATCTTTGAGAACAGGAACTGGACAACGCCAAGAAGTTGTGGGGCTTATTAATTTTTTTGGTGAAAGCTGTGCTGCTGTTAACCAAGGAAAGGGCGAGACACTCAGAAGAGGAAGGGAAGGCGCAGGCTCTGCCAGCGAGACGCACTGCACAAACGCGGACTCCGGCTCTTGTTCGGCAGTGGACCTGCCACAGGAGTCTTTCTTGGTCCTGGTGAGTTGGGAAGCAAAATTATGGGAATGAAGTTAAGGCAAAGCGATGACTACTGACCACTCAGACACACAGCAACCAGGTTCACGGTTCTGGGGTCCGAGCCCCACAGCCGTCCACCCACCTCGCTTCCTGCAAGGTGGTCACGAAGGAGGTGCTGGAGACTTAGGACCTGCAGGCAGAGGACTATGAAGTCTCAGGCGCAGCAGGGGCTTCTTCCCTAAGGCCAGGAACAGGGGAGAGACAGCTTGCTTGTGGCTCCACGGTCACCCACGGTTTGGAGAATGTCGGGGTAATTTAACAAACCACTCTTTATACAGAATTGTCTCCTAAGGAGCTTGCACACAATTATCTTGGCAACTGCCGAGCACAGCTGGGGAAAACACACAAAAATATAAATCTTTCCAGTGAGGATTCAAGAGTAGAAGGGCCCCTATGGAAGCCACAGGACCACTACGGGCCCAGACCTTAAACAAGATGGTGGCCGGCACGGGGCCGCTCTATCTCGCCTGGCGGAACTCTATGGCGGGGCAGAGACGCAGAGTGGAGAGCGGCGAAGCCGAGGTGGGCGGACACCCGACCACACTAGTGCGCTAGGAAGAGCGGAGCGGAAAGGGAGCGCTCGCGCATGTGTGGAACTGGAGGGAAGCATTCCCAGACAAGGGGCCCACCCCACGGTGCGAGTTTTCAGAAACGTGTGAGCCGCCTAGGTCCAGTTAAAGCGAGGTGGGGCGTTTCCCCAGGCGCATGCGTCCTAGGCAAGACCAGCGATACTGTGGCGGCGTGGTCTTTTCAACGCCCGGCGTACAGACGACGTCTGAGGTGGAAGGGGCGTTTAGGATTCACAACACGCATGCGTCCTAAGACCGAGGCGTTTCCTTCAGAGGGTGTGGAGTGCAGAGCTCCTTTCTGCGCAGGCGCAGGGGCTGTCGGAAGGGGGAGTGGGTCTGGTTCAGGGGGAGGGGAAAAAGGGGGGTTGGAAGGGATTTAAAAAAACCGGGGTGCGCCTGCCGCGTTGCGGAAAGGGTTTGGAAGGAGCCCCAGGGTTTTGCGAGGGGCCGGGGTCCCCTTTTTGCCCCGTCATGGGGATGGGGTAGGGTGGGAAAAAAAGGGGGGAGAATCGGTGAGGGGCTCTATGCCTCTTGCCCAAGGCCGGGGGTGGAGGGCGGAGGAGATAGATAGCACGCTTGCGCGGCTGTCACAGGGCTGCTTGGTTGGTCAGTGGGGAGTCGGCGCCTGCGTACTAAGACCCGTGTGCTGCAGCGGCGGCGGCGGTAGAGGCGGCGGCGGCGGCGGCAGCGGCAGCGGGCTCGGAGGCAGCGGTTGGGCTCGCGGCGAGCGGACCGGGTCGAGTCAGTGCGTTCGCGCGAGGTGAGAGCGGGCAGGGCGCGCCTGCGCGGAACCTCGGCTTGGGCCTGGGAGGAGAGATGGAACTGCGCGGGGGTCTGGGAGGGGGCAGAGGGGAGCGGCGGTCCGCCGCACGGGTTCCGGCGGAGAGCGGCGCGAGGTGCGGAGGGGCGCGGGCGCGCGCCCCGGTTGGCGCGCAGGGTGACGGTTGGGGCCGGCCCGGTGACGTTGGAGCGACGCAGGGCGGGGGACGGCGAGCCGCGAGGCCGCCACGCGGGAGAGGCCGCCAGGCGGCCACGCCGGGGCGAGGGCCCGGGGCCAGATCGGCCCGCCGGGACGGGCGTACCTGGGCGGTTGAGGACCGGACGCCGCGCGGCCACGTGAGGTGGGGGAGGGGGGCTATCCGGTGAGGGCATGTGGAGGGGCCCGGCGGCCGGCGGGGGGAGGGGAGGCGGCGTGGCTCCGGCCGGGCGCAGCCTTTGGGGAGGGGGGGTGGCCGCGGCACCGGAAGTGCCCCCCACAGAAGGCTGCCCTCGGGGTCGGAGGCCGCATGGCCGAACGTGGACCGGGGCCGCATGGCAGCGCGGGGACCCCTCCCCCCAGGTCCCGGCCACCGGAAGCCCCGGGCGGCCACATGGTGGGAGGGAGTCGGCAACCCGCGGCGCGGGGCGCTTGGTCCGCGCGGGCGTCCGAGCGAGCCTGGAGTTCGGAGGAGCCGGAGGAGCGCGAGGCCCGGGGCCTCATCACCGCTGCGGGCCCGCTGCGGACATATGTTAGCGCTCCCTGGCCTCAGGAGCCCTTCCTTGGAGCCTTTGCCCCAATCCTCCTGGGAGTGAGGCGGCCGGCCAGGTGTAAGAGGCCTGAGGAACGGGGAGAGCGAGGGCGATTGGCCAGCAGCCCAACTCTTGTCGGCCCGCGCCGACGGTGCCTTGAAGTCCCGGCAGAGGAGTTCCCCGGCGTGATACGTGCTCTTCACCTTGTCGCTGTCTTCCCCGCTGTGTCTGGTTTGGGAGCCCCTCCGTTTTAGCGTCCTTAACTCTGTACCAGTCTAGTGTAATTACTACTCACTACTACCAGCCTTTTGCTTTTCTTTTTATTGTCATTCACCACCCCCCACTCTCCTACTTTCTACTGACTGTACAGGCCTGGCCTGAAAAGCCGACAGGACCGAGGCATCCTGGGAAAAGTGGGAGGGCCCTCGAGGCGAGGCTGGTTCCTGGGTTCCCTTTGGGAACCGAGATCGAAGTGTTTGGCAGGGGATCGGTTAGGAGACAACTTTACTTTCTCTCCCTTGACTGCTTCTGCAAGTGCATGTTGGAGAGGTGGGAATCCCCCAAAGAGGCCTTGTGGTTTCCTGTACCAGTGACTGGCTTGTGTGTGGATAGGGGTGGGGGTGTAACAGAGACGGGTGGGGCCTTGTCCGATCTCCACCCCCCCATTAGCCCCGCCCTTAGCTGGCTCATGGCTGCTCACCTAATTATAGCCCTGGCTGCCTGTGAGGGGAAGAGGGGTGGCTGGTTTCAGTGGCAAGTAACACCTGAGTCCTCTGGGTCCCAGGAAGTAGGCCTTTCCTCCTCTGAGATGGGGTATCCCAGTTCCCTAGAGCCTTCCTTGCTCAAGCCTCCACTTTAGCTTTTATTTGTGGGGAGGGTTCAGCTATTCCCTCCTGACGGCACAGCAGTTCTGAAGTATATTTGGTCCCGGTTGGGATTTAATGCAGGAACTGTGACTTTATTTTAGGTGGGTTATGGAATAAAGGGTTGGGGGAAATGAAGCAATGCTTCCAGGCTGATGGGCTAGCTTGGAGGTCCTGTTAATCGCCATCCTTACTGACCCCAGTTCTCTTCTTGGCTCTAGTTGGACTCGAAACTTCTTAAAATGGCAGATGATTTGGACTTCGAGACAGGAGATGCAGGGGCCTCAGCCACCTTCCCAATGCAGTGCTCAGCATTACGTAAGAATGGCTTTGTGGTGCTCAAAGGCCGGCCATGTAAGATCGTCGAGATGTCTACTTCGAAGACTGGCAAGCATGGCCATGCCAAGGTTAGAATTTCACCTCTGCCCATCTTGCCTTCCCCACACACCACCTCCCTGGTTCCATGGGGCTCCTGGCAGCAGGCTGCCATTTCTCCTCGCCCTCTACTTCTAGTTCTTACTGTTTCATTCCTTTCGTGTAGTACTCAGCCCCTATACCAATACACATGCTTCTCCGTCCGCAGCCTCTTCGTGGGTACCCTCCTGTGCCCCGTCGCAGTTCCTCTCTTTCTTCATTTTTGGGCCAGTCTCGTCTCTTACTGTTCTTTATGCTCTGGCTGTTCAGCCTCTCCTTCCTTCCTTCCTGCATTTGTCTGTCTCTGGGCGCCCATAGGTGCTCATGGTTTCTCCCTGTGTACTTCGGAGCCTTGAAATCACCTTGCTACGCGGCGCCTTGGTCCTGCCGTTCCCTTTGGAACTCTGCAGAACTGAACTCCTCTACCTGCCGTGCCCACTCAGTTCCTTCGGCCTGGTTGCTTTCTTGGGTCTCAACATTCTTAACGCCTTACCTCAGACTTGCCCTCCTTTTCCTCTCATAAATTCAACCTGGTCCATCCTTGCTGAATTTCTTGCCGTTTTCTTCACTAGCAGGTTTTTCCATCTTCCTTGACTCTGTTGATCCTGGTTATCCCCTAACGTCTCGATGCTTCTCTATGCTCTTTTGATTTCCTTATGTCCTAACTCAATTCTTTTTGTTGATCCCCAAGTCCTTTTTTTCTTTTCACATTCTCTTCTGTTTTCTCAGCCTTTTTCTTTTTACCTTTTCTTTGCAAATTCTCAGCTCCTCATTTGGGGGTCCGGAAAACTCAAACTTTTCACTGGGTCACTTCCATTTCCCTAGACTGAGCGTCCTGTTTCTGTCAGTGCTTTATGGTAACTCCCGTCTGCCCTCGGGCTGTCTACCCCAACCTCAGGGGTAGGGTGGTCTTTAGCCTCGGGATTGTTTTTAGAGGCTTTGGTGTTTCTTTCCTGGGTGGACTGGTTCAATCCCAACTCCCCTAAACTTTGCCCTAACAATGCAGTCTCAGAAGCCAGGGACAGCTTGAGCTTTTATCTCCTCCATTGTAGAGTTTGGTTGGGTTTCTCTTTGTGATGCATACACACAGGTCCACCTGGTCGGTATTGACATCTTTACTGGGAAGAAATATGAAGATATCTGCCCGTCAACTCATAATATGGATGTCCCCAACATTAAAAGGAATGACTTCCAGGTATGTGGATGGTCAAGGGGAGTATAGGTCATAGGTTAGTGGGGGGTGGGGGTGGGGGTGCGATTGACCAGAGGAGCTTGTGCCAGGAGAGGAAGGAAGAACAGGAGGGTGTTGTCATCCCGGTTTGTCCCAGATCCTTTGATTTCAACCTACCTGGGCCTACCTCAGCTTCCTTTCCTATCTGCCCCCAGCTGATTGGCATCCAGGATGGGTACCTATCCCTGCTCCAGGACAGTGGGGAGGTGCGAGAGGACCTCCGTCTGCCTGAGGGAGACCTCGGCAAGGAGATCGAGCAGAAGTACGACTGTGGAGAAGAGATCCTGGTATGGGCACCCCCGCCCCTTGTGCTCAGCTCGCTCTCAGTGCTTCTCTCTCTGAGCACAGACACCTGACCGACCCCCTTGCTCCTCCAGATCACGGTGCTGTCTGCCATGACAGAGGAGGCAGCTGTTGCAATCAAGGCCATGGCAAAATAACTGGCTCCCAGGTGAGTGACAGACCCAGCTCCGGGTTGCCGCCCAGCCCTGCCCCAGCCCTTCTCCTGTTCTGTCTTATGTGGTTTCTCTCCTGTCTCCCACACAGGGTGGCGGTGGTGGCAGCAGCGATCCTTGAGCCTGCAGAGGCCCCTCCCCCAGCCTGGCCCAACTCTGGCCTGGCCCTCGGCTGGACTCCTACACAATTTATTTGACGTTTTATTTTGGTTTTCCTCCGCCCCTTCAATCTGTCGGGGAGCCCCTGCCCTTCCCCCAGCTCCCTTGGCCAAGAGCTAGTGAGCAGTGGCCTTGGTGAAGCTGCCCTCCTCTTCTCCCCTCGCACTACAGCCCTGGTGGGGGAGAGGGGGTGGGTGCTGCTTGTGGTTTAGTTTTTTTTTTTTTTTTAATTCAATCTGGAATCAGAAAGCTGTGGATTCTGGCAAATGGTCCTTGTGCCCAGCCCCTCCTCATCCCTGGTCTGGTCTCCTGTTCCTCAGCCTTTACCCTAAGCACCTTCCCCACAGACTGGGGACCAGCCCCTCCCCCGCCTGGGTCTCTCCTCAAACCCCTTCAGATGGGGAGGGAAGGGGAGGGGAGGGGACCTGCCCCCTCTTCAGGCATCTGGGAGGCCCTGCCCCCATGGGCTTCACCCTTTTCCTGCGGGCTCTCTTCCCCGACACATTTGTTAAAAATCAAACCTGAATAAAACTACAAGTTTAATATGAAGCACCCAACTCAGCTGCTTACTTGAATTGAATGGCTACTTGCTGACTGGAAAGTGTACCTGGAAGCCAGAAATAAACTGAACTCTGCTTCTGGGTTCATTGTCACCAACTGTCATCACTTGGACTTGCTGTGGACCTGCCAG